TACAGTACTTCATGCATAAAAAATGGTTTTTAAGAATTTTTGTGAAATAATTTATAATATAGTGTATATATATATTCGAAAACGAGCAAATCAAATTGTAACAACTTTTTGTCCACGAACAATTCCGTTACGATTCAAAGATCCCAACCACATCATCTTTTTTGCAAACAAAAGGTGTGGAAAGCCACATGTAATGATAATACCTATCAACGTCGATCTTAAAAACGAGGACGCTACTTCTCACAAATTCTAACATTTCCAAACTTTTGCATCATTTTCTTTTCTTGGGTATATGATTGCATGCAGTGGACGAAGCTTTTGAGTGGTAAGCCCCAGGGTATTSACATCCTCTTGAGCAGCCTCATCTTTGAGTTTCCACTCAAACTCCTGCACCATCCTTCCAATTCCAATGCAAGCAATCAACATTGCTTGAAGAGAACCAGCACATACCCTTTTGCCTCCTCCAAATGCCATTGTTTTCTGATCACCTTCAACCTCAAAAAACCTCTCTGGATTCCATTCTTCCGGATTCTCCCACACTGCCTTCTCCATGTTACACCCRTAAATGTTTACCGCTATCTGTACAACACAACACATTATTCGCTTTCAGCTTACCCACAACAGACAACAATTAATATTGGATTTACATTCTATCATAAGCACCCTAACCTGGGTTCCAGCTGGGATATGGTACCCTCCCAGTTCTGTATCTTCATGCACGTATCTTAATGGAATTATCGGAACTGGACCATGCCTTCTCAAGGTTTCATTAAAAATAGCAGATAAGTATGGCAGCTGACCCAAGTTTTCCTCCSTGATCTTGTCGGACCCACAGACACCTTGGATTTCCCGGTACAATCGATCCTGGGTCGGATTAAAGCAATAAAACCACATCTAACTAAACAAACCCGGTATATGTAAAATGTATGCAGACATTACCTTTGAATTACAAATCAAAGACAAAACCCATTTTAAATTTCAAATTTGAAGCACATTTTTGTAAACAATATATTAATTTATAGTACAAACCTGAATCTTGGGATTTTTTGCAAGTTCATACATTGCCCATTCTGTGGTGACCATAGTGGTGTCTGATGATTCGATGATTGGCTCCCATAGGGACATAASTAGTTGTTTCTCCGATAGTGTTTGTGCTTCTGATAGCAAGTAATCGATGTAGCTGTTCAAATTCTGTTTTTAAATGAAACGAGGCGATCGAGTTAATATCATCGTGAAGTGATCTTAGCAAGAAATGCTATTCGTTGTGATTAATTACCTCCCCTGAAGCAATACGTTTTCTATGTTCTTGAATAAGGGCCTTCATCACGGCCTCTCTCCGGATATACATTTGTTGGATCGTGTTCTCAAAGTTTCGATTTGGAATCCACTTGAGATACGGGAAGAAATCTCTCCAGTCGACCTCGATAGCCCCCATCAGCGGGTCAACCACCAGCACCTGAAAGATCTCGTCTCTGTTCATGGTGGTTCCGAGATCCTCCACATATATGCTTTCCACATCCTTTCCCATTGTCTGCAAAAATAGCAAGTGATGTTATGTTTTTTAATGCATGTATCAAGTAGCACTGCAACAAAATCGGTTTTGCCTAATATGTCTAAACGCCCGTTTAGACTGATTTATAGAACTAAATAATTGTGGGTTTTATATTAAAAAAGTGTTACAAATAGGATGATAGAACGTATTTGAGCATCCTATCATATTTATGACATTTCTTTTCAAATAAAGTGTCATATTAGTTTTTTTTTACGGTATATTTGTGAAGACACTTTCAAATAATGTCCTATACAAAAGATCAATAGGACRCTTTGGTTCAAAATTGTCCTAAAAAACTTGTTAAAACGTCCAAAAAAAAGTCATATCAGCAACACCTTTACATACAACTCATAATTGTTTGACCCTATAAGATTTAGTATTGTAAAAAAGTCTATTAGAACATTTAGACATATTTCGCGTGCTATAAAGTGAATTTTGTTGTAATGTAAATTGAATTTTAAAGAATAATATAATGATGGTAAGCAAATTAACTTACTTGTCTCATGGCTAATCCAAAAAGTTCAGATTGGAATACTTTCCTCAGGTTCACTTCTTCTTGAGGAGAGTTTTGAACAAATGTATGCAGTTGGTTTGAAAGATTCTGCATCATGATGTCTCGATGGACTCGGTGTTTCTTCTGAGCATTTGGTCCCAAAACAGCGGTGAGTATATGGCGTTTGACAGTCTTGTGATAGTCGTTGTAATCACTCATAGCGACCATGGTTTTATCGGCAGTGAGGACCTCTAATGCCTTGGATAGCTTTCTGGTTGAGATGGATGGAAATCTGGTAACCAGTGCCTATAGCAATGCATGATATATAGAGATCAAGCTTAACAACCATCATATCAGGAAATATGGTAACCAATTCCCCCAACAATGCGTTTAYTGGTTGCATAAACAGAGGAGAGTTAGAGTGTAAGAGCTGCAGTGCAGAGCAGAGATGCCCAAAAATTGGTCCCGGGCGGGGCTGGGCTGGGCCAGGCCCAAATCAGTCCTGGTCCCATAATTGTTTTTCGTAACCGGTCTCGGTCCAACCAAAAACCCATGACCAGGTCTATGTGTTTAATAATCGGTCCTTAGAACTGGTCCCAGGCCTGGACTAAACCGGTCCCAATTTTTTCCAAAAAATCAATTTTGAACGTGGAAAAACTTGCGTTTGAAGATTTTTCTTTTTTTTGGACAATATTTTATTTAAATACACTTTGAAATCTCTAATTGGGTCATTCAAACATACTTTTAAAATATGTTTTTTAATATTTTTACACAAAAATGTAATAGATGTTTTTATAATTACGATTTTTGAGATTTAATAATCAAAACACTTACAAAAACTTGAAAAACATAAATAAAARAAAAACATGAAAAACTTAAATAAAAAACTTTAAAATYTTGAAAAACTTGATATATAATTTATAAAAACTTWTTTTTTTTTAATCGGGCCCATGTATAACCGGTCCTGGTCGCATAACCAGTTTTGGTCCRGGCCTTGTTTTTGGATGAAAAACGTAACCGGTCTCAACCGGGCCGGCCCCATTTGGCCATCTCTATGCAGGAGTTAAAATCTCTTTGGAGGTTGGGCTCCTTATATAGACCGGGTTCTTAAGCCTAACAAACTGTTGTATAACTGATTTGTCTCTCAGTCTCACACATTGATTTTCCTTAGRAAACCTATTTTAAAACTTCATGTATTATATCTTTGTTGAAGCTTTAAGGGAAGTAGCTAATTTATGTTGCAACTAGAAAACATATTATAACTGTTTAAAAAAATAACATATTGTAGCGTTATAAACAAAACTCATTTTCAAAATAAATTAAATACTCAACTTTTTTAGTTGAGATTTGTTGGCTAAAACTTRGTTTTTAAAAGGAAATATGAACAAAGAATATAACATAATAAAAACTTTTTGTCTCATATTTAACGTAACATTTTTATAGCGTCCTATTTAATTTATCAAATATCACATAAACAACTTGTTATAATACCAACGGATTCTTTACAAGGGAGAAAATTTAGACCTCTTTTGAATTTTTTTACAAATGGATTCTCCAAAAATAAAAACAGCAAATTTAAAGATTTGGAGAATCCACCAAAATCATAGAGGAGAGAGAAAAAGTATAATTTTTAAATTATTGTTTTATATAATGTATTTGAAAATATTTTGGAATATGAAATATTTATTAATAATATAATTAAAATGAAAAATYTATGGATTTTAAAGTTTTGCTTTTTTTACAAATATATAAAATCTGTTTGGAGATGTTGTAATGGTATCAAAATTAATACTAGATAGACAGACAGACAATTAAATCCAATAATGTTAGATACCAAAAATATCCTGTGCAATTTCATTCTTTAAACAAAACCAAAAAACACCTCACCACAAAAATCTATATMAAATATGGTTGAATGTTGTCATCCTAACTTATCCTTTCGAGATTTATTAASCTATATTTGTACTTCTTCCTGAAATAGCAAAATAAAAAACTATTTACTAAGATATGTCCACAACAGTMTGTACTTCTTCGTAAAATAGCAAAATAAAACAGTATTTATTAAGGTATGTCCAGATATYTGTACTTCTTCGTAAAATAGCAAAATAAAAAAGAATTTATTAAGGTACGTCCAAATATCTGTACTTCATCGTAAAATAGCAAAATGAAAAATATTTTTAAAGACATCAATTAGATTAAAAGAAAGAACAAACAATGAGGTTCAACGATATAAGAAACAGAAAATGAAATAAATAAATTCATAACCAGAGAAAAGAACGAGAAAAAAAACCCTTAAAAGGAGCTAGCCTTACAACCCTAACTCGATGAGCAAATCAAGACCCCAAAACAAACACACCTGAGATTGAATTATTATTATTTATTTTTTT